GGCAACCGTCTGCAGCGCTTGACAGAGCCACGTAACTGGTTGGTCGTACGGCGCTGATAGACTGAGATACCGCAGCGAAAGAAGGGCAGATAGGTTCAGCAAGGCTAAGATTCGGTTTAGAACCTGATGACTTGGTACAAAGAAGAAGACGTACGAAGCTGGGGCCTGCTAAAATCGTAGGTGAGACTCTCAAGGACAGTGCAAGGCTTGTCGAGATATGCTTGCAAGCCTTCGACGTCTCTAGGCGAGATGTTATAGACATGTAGATTGGACAATGTAGGGTGCTTTTTGAGATAAGGCAAAATGCCCTGTAGACTGCCGACCAAATAGAGGTGGATTGTGTTCAGCGAGGCTGGGAACCTGATATTGCTGGGCTTGTTTTCGGGGTCAGGAAAACATGTTCCGGAAAGTTTGAGCAATTGCAGGTTGGGGAATGATGCAGCGAAGGCGAAGGTGTAGTCAAGGTGGCTTTGGGGACTGGGCATTACAGCTGTGAGCTTCAACTCCAGATTGACGACCTGGTTCAGGCGAGAAGCGACCTCGATGCGCGCTGCAAGAGGCCATGTCGCACTGTTCATGGACACGACCAAGGACCTGATCGTCAGCAGAGCCTGCGCTGCTGTTAGGAGGTCGCTGAGGTTGAGGGAGAAGGCCTCTGATTTCATGAAACAGAGGGTATGAAAAAAGGCGGGAAAGCTGCTCTTTTGGCATCGTAACAGCTGGAGGAAGGGACCTAGCTTCCTTTCGGTCATCTGGATGTGAGAATGGGTAGAGAAAATGTGATATCGGCTGGGCTTGAGCCACGCTTTGCAGACCAGACTGCATGACTTGAGGCTTTTGACATCCTTGTGCAGATGGTCAATAACAGTTTCGACCATCTCCAGAGGCAATTGTGGTAGATCTCCTATCATTCCATTAGGATAATCTGTCACGGTGAGCCAGGGCTTACCATGAACAGTATCGACGTCCATTGGCTCCATCGTGGTCGGCTGAAACGGTCGTTGTGGCTGTGCGCTCACAATTTCTTGAGGCACGTGTCAGTCACACTGTGACTGTCCGAAAAGGGTATCTGCGCCACACTACCATCCCTTTGCGGTCTAGTTATTCCAAGATCATATGCGTGTATATTTTGAACCAAAATGCCAACCGTGAAATGTAACAAAATAAGTGTTCTGCGAAGTATCTTCTCAAAGAAAAAGACGATGGTAATGTAGCTAGTAGTCAAAAGGTGTTCCGTGTTCTATTCGCTCGAATCTGGCAAATCACCAGTGAGGAAACCCTGAAGGCCTGGCAGGCTTTCGCTCCCCATTGTCCCAATCCTGGGGAGCTGCATGGAGAAACGTCAACATCAAAGAGACTCGAATATTGAATGACTCTGACTTACGCGTAAATTTTCGCGGTGGAAGAGGCGAGAGACCCCGAGCGATTCTGTGAGCATTGATTCCTGCGGGTTGGGCAGTAACAGCCACAGCAGTCGCAGCCAAGATGGTCAGGATGGAGCTGAATTTCATGATGACAAAGGGAGAGATTTTGTGATCGTCGGTTGGGTGAGTTGAAGTGCTGCTATATAAGTAGTTGCTGTAGTACTGTCATTTTGTAGATTGCTTTTATAGCTTCAACCCTCAGCCCTGGCAGCTGGGATGGAGCTAGTCTCTCCTAGACAGACTCCATGAGGTGACAATTAAAATGTACCTGTATGAGCGCCCTCGTCCATAAGCACGGTGTTACATTTAGGAGACCTTGACAGGTTAGAGAGCTAGCCTGTTAGCGTCGGAATTGAAAGAGAGTTCAGAGGCATACCTACGACCGCCTCAGACCCCTAGGCTTTTCGACGTTCACCGACTAGCTGAAACCTATTAGCTTCGAGCAGTAACAGGAAGCGGTGACTTCAGTTCTCATATTAATATTGCCGCTCCAGGCGACCAAAGATCGTTCAATACGGTTGTTGGCGGCTTGCACAAACCACAGGAGGTGTCTGGACTTGAAGTAAAGCCGTCAGAAATGTTGACCGTATGTCAGACAATAAGTAAAGGCCGCAAATCACACAATCATCGCTTCAAGAAGTGGGATCCTACAGCTAGAATCGGGAAGAGTTTGGCAGATAATCGGTCACAGAGACAGCGAAAGTCTGTCTCATCAGTCATGAAACGAAAAAACAGAAAGAGCTACATTTGGGATACATTTATTGTACAAGCTAGCCTGCTCGTCGATAGATCTAAAGTTACAGAAACATGGCGTCGGGGACAGAAATCAATCATCGTACCGTGGCGTCTAACCTCCTATGCCTGCCAATCATACTCGTAAAGGCTAGCATTCGACAATGGAAACGCTACCAAAATCTCCATCCCCTGTTTCCGAAACTGCTGCAGCTCTGAAATCGGCTCAACATGGTCTCTGTAATGTTGTCGCGACCGAATTGGAATGACCAACTCGAGCCGCCGAAGATTCGCGACTCCGCCAACGATATCCCTTCTTGACCTGACCAGATTGAACAAAACCTCGCTCTCCAGAACACTCAACGGCAAACATCGTATAGCGCGCCTAATGCTGATACCAGTCAAATGCGGGAAAACAGCTGTATCGGCATCATCCCCCTGTTTGACGGTGATATGTCGAAGAAGGTCGACTGGGAAAACATTGTCCACCAGGCGCAATGTAGTCAACTCTGGCGAGATGATCGACAGGGCTCGAAGGGTGCAGTATTCCGGCTGTCCCCATAATGTCGACATATGCGTCAATGCCAGCTTCGTAATCCAACAGCGAGACCGTTGGACCAGCAGAACCAATGCCTCCAGCGCTGCATTGCACCCAACGACGTCGACCTCCTCCAACGCCGGTAAGAAGAGACAAGGCAAAAGTCGAAAGCTGCTGGTCGTCGGAAGACAAAGATTATTGTCAATGCGAAGTCGGGTTAGATGAGAAAGCCGCAGCTTTTTCAGCGGAATGTCGCCAATGACTGGATTATCGAGGTTGTATTCGACGAGGTTTGGAAGATTGGAAAGGATCTGCAGCTCGTCTTCAGCAGAGCGGGATCCCCCAGCTTGGAATCGTCGGATTTGATTCCAAGGAAGCGAGAGATGTGAGAGAAGGTCATAGTCGCTGATGGAGAAGCTCTGCAATGACGGAGCATCGTCGAACCGCCCTCGGAATATATCAGAGCTTTCAGAGATATTGGGCTCAGAATCGGCAACAGCTTTGACGATGCAAAGTCTGCGCAGCTCTGGAACAGCACTTGGATCAAGGCCGAGGTCTGGGATTTGGAGGAATAGATCTATGGGAGCATGTAGAGTAATCTGGCTCCAATGGCGGGAATGAGACGTCAGAGCTCTGATGAGGCTTTGCTCGACTAAAGGATTTCGAGCTTTATTGGCATGAAAAACGACAACCAAAGGGGCGTCCATCGAACGCGCCAATATGGTTTCTAGCTTTGCTGGAGCAGATGGACCGAAGACATTGGCTGATATCGAAATGGTGGACCAGAATGACGCCCGCGTCACCAAGACCCGCCGCCATAGTCGGCAGACCCATCCCAAGGTCCAATGCTGGGTCTTCATATCAAGAGTGACCGGCCTTGTCGTATTTGGAGCGGTTTCTGAGGCCAAAACGTGAAACATGATCTCGTATATGATATCGTCATTGAGGTTCTGTTTTCTGGCATAAAATGTCAGCAGGAAACGATGGAAGGCAACCGGAATCGCACATACGACGTTTTGAAAGCCATCGCCTTGCGCGCAAATGTGGTCAATCGCTCCAGGCGATCCACAGACGAGTATTCGGAACCAGTGGTGGAAGTCATTTGAGCGAGGCGAGGACTAGGGGACAATAATGGTCCATCTTAAATATTCTGATGATGACAATGAGACACAGCCGCCGCCCACGGCCGCCATCTGATAGATGCGGAAAATTTTAACAAAAGGAAAGACAAAAGAAGGCCAGAGCGCATCTAGGGTCAAGGTCTGTCCTTTCTCTTCTGAAGGCCTTCCTCGCGCGAGGGGACCTTGTCCATTCTGCTCTAAACCAGCCTCTCCTTCAGCCTCGGCCCTCCGATAATGCTTCGGTGGATGCCTTTGGAGCCGCAATAGAGAAATTGGCTCTAAGCGGACTTTAGCGCAGCTGATAGAGCCATATCATTGGGCGAGCGATTCGTAGCCTCCATGATGAGAAGACGTGCAGCAGATGCACAAGAAAGTTTGTGGTTGGAGATCGAAGTTGTCACTGAAGCGTGACAGCTCTCTGCTCTCTTTCGCGGACGCATTCCTTTTCCCTTACTAGCTGCCACTGGCACAAGCTATTTTCACGCGTGAATCGCTTTACCGAACGAACCCTGGACCTGCAGTTTCTCCGAGAACCATGCCTCAGCAAACTGTTTCTTCGACTGTGTCGTTTCTCTGGCTATGGCTAGTAGCATCCGAGCCTCAGGCAAGTATATGCTGTATTCTATATCCTTCTGCGACGCGATGACGGGTATAGCAATCCTCTAAAAAAAATTTGACGCTCCCAACCGCTCATGATGCATGATGGTCCATGGAAATACGATGTAAGGCAGAGGCGCTCAGTTCTGCGCTGTATTACCAGGCTTACCATATGCTGCAGCATTCCAATGGCGCGCCTTTTGTCGACAGAAAGGCCGTTCAGCTTCATACCATTTATCATCATCGAGTGCTTGTCGAGTGTGTCAAGTTTTTCGTGTCGAGGTTTGACTGCGACTGACCGGTTTGGCGGAAATTCTTGCTTTCAAGCTCGCCATATTTGTCCAATCATTATCCGGTCGTGGCCTGGTCACCGGCTTGTGGTTTTTCAATCGTTGGTTCTACTCAACTTTGACCCTATTGGGCTCGTCGATTTCCGTTTGTATCTCCAAGCATATTAGTCCAGAGGCAAAGGTATGTGTCTAGCTCGTTGTCATATCCTCTCTGATGCAATACAGGTATTGCGCGAATCCGAGAACTATATTTGGGGCCGGACCCTTGACAGTAAACTTTTTGTGCAACGCGCGCTGTGCGACGATGGCGGAGTGGTAACGCCCCCGCCTGCTAAGCGGGTGTCCCTGGTTCGATTCCAGGTTGTCGCCGTTGTTTGATAGCAACACTTTTTTCTTTCTTTCTTTGCTTTACAGGTTCTGATACATTCGGACACTGAATCCCTTCTTTTCAGAAATCTCAACAAAGATGGACATCCTCCTGCTCGTCATTGTGAATGCAGTAAGACTTCTTTGTATTTCACTGCAACCGTACGAACTCCTTAAATCGAGGTCACTGTACTCAAAAAGTAGAAGTTGGTGTAAAGATTCGTTCGTTGATAGACGCAGAATCTTTGTAAGTCCAAATGGATACATTACTATGTACGAGTCGACTGACCGTCTAAGAGAAATAAAAGAGATAGCGCCACTCCTCGACACTGGGCTTCCCCTCCTTGTTCCATTCCTCGAGACCCTTACCGCAGCCCCGATAATATGACTCGTCTTGTCAGAAACGTCAGTCATTGAGCTACATAGATCGTCGAGGGGGCTCAACTCAGAAAGCGTAGCTTCGAATCTGCATCTTCCCAGATACACATAAGCAGCTCATCTGAATACTCTTGGAACAGACGCGCAGCTGGATTCCAAGGGTGAAGTCTTCGACGGTGAGACAAACGAAAAGTCTTCCTGGCTGCACAATTTCGAACTAGTTGTCCATGGGTCTATGAAACTGGTTAACAAAGAGAAAGGCACCGATGAAAGCATACCTTGGAGATACCTTCGACAGTGAAACGAGGGCGACTTGATGGATACAAATGCTCTTTCATTCGACATCCAATGTCAGCCCCAGTCGGTCCAATGCCGAGGACCTTACATCCAATAATCGCCGTGGAACTGGAACAAGTGAGCTGGAAAAACTAGACAAGGTCATTGTCATTCGTCTCTCCAAGTCGGTCAGCCATTCGGCGTCATGTGGGCGAACAAGGCTATCGTCCGAGAATGAAATTGACGGAGGTCTAGAGGTATATTCCGGTCTGAGAACAGCATTATCGAGGAGAATATTGGCTATAGCGACCTGGAGCCCTGAGAAGCAAATGAGCTTCTTGATCCTTCACGATAATAGATTACATACCTTGAGGCGATATGCAGTGGAATGATCTTCGACCAGCGCATCGTATTCAACTTACTCTTATCCCTCGTTGCAGCAGAGAGCTCGCTCGAATCCAACATGTTATACATTTCTGACACCTTTGTTGAGCTTCGTGTTATACCCTGCTATCACGGTCTGCTTCAGGGCTCGTCGACCCACCAGCGTCACGAGAGAAAGGTGCAAGCATAGCGCACGATTGAGGTCAGTATCGGGTAAGGCTCCTTCCCAGCTCGGAGCTTGAGCACAGTGCTCAGTCTATAATCCCATTTAACATGATCCCAATTCGAGGAGGCAGAATACAACGCACCACGAGAAGCCAGCTATGCACCAAAATCACCATCTGCATCTTCTTCCCTTGCTTCTGATGGCTCTTCCTGTACCTTGGCCGGCTCCGAGGCTGAACTCGTCCTCTCGTCCTCTTTCTCTTCCTCTATATCCTCGCGTTCCGCCCTCTGTCCCAAAAACCAAACAGTCCCCGTCGGTAAAATGATTGTGCTCAGGCTCGGACAACAATCCTTCCATTTTAGCGCAACACTCTCCTCATCAGCTTCAACCGTCGTCGAATCCGTTGAATCAGCGGTCGACCCCATGAACGTGATGTACTGCAAAAAGCCGTCAGTCGTATAATTAGATAAAAGCAGCGCCTATACCTTCAAGGAATGAAATGCCGACAAATCCGGTGCTATATCCCTAAGCATTCCCTTCAAAAATAGCGTCAGAATACGAATTGCCCATAGAAGCCGAATGTACGTACCGCGGAACAAGGAGCCAGCAAAATCAATACATGCAGGGCCTGCAAATCCGGAAAGCGCTTCGCCATCTCCTTCACCAAGTCGCCCGGGTTAGCTTCTTGTTCAAAGCTCAGCAGGTTGAGCCGCTGGAGACTGGCGGACGACAATGCCAGCGCATCGAGCGAAGCACACGTCGTCATCGCATGCAATGGAATCGAAACCTGCGAAACAGGTCGATCCTGCACTATCATCTTGATAATATCGGCACCAGCGTGTACAGCGCGAAATGTATGGAGACTGGGCAATGAGGTTTTTTTGAGGGGAAATGACATTATAGGGCCCGTTGAGAGAAACCCGGACCTGTCGGGAGAGTCGGACGCCCCGCGAAGGGTCAGGTTTTCGATTCGAGGTTGGGTGTCGAGAAATGCTGCGAGAGAGGCGTCGCACGGAAATGAAGTCGAGAATCTCTCGAGCGAAAATATGCATTGGCCGAGCACCCAGATATGAGGCGAAGGGATGTCGATTGTAAGGGATTCGAGCGCTGTTAGATTCCGGAGCGCTTTTTTCATGACCTGGTATACGTTTTTGGTGGCTTTAATGGCGAAAATGGGAGGTTGTTCGTCGTTGAGCCAGTCAATGGTCAACGACTTGACTACCAGCGCTAATTGGGTGCTTTTGGAGAGGGTTCTGAGCAACATAATGGTTGGCACCGGTAGCGATACGTTTATGGAGCGATAGAGAAGGCGGGCCCCGATTTTGTGATTGGATTTCGTTGATAAAAGGACGGGGACAAGCCCTGCTGGCTCCAGATTCTGGAATATGAGGTCCATTATCTCCAATGGAAAACGAGGAATCGGAGCATCGTTGGCCATGTTCGAACCAGGTTTAGATATGGTGGTCGAGACCAAGCAGTGGAAAACGGTGACGACACCAGCAGTGACCGTCAGGTGACCCAAACGGCTTTTCTCCTTCCTCATTAATATTTAATCTGCCATTCACGCGTTCACGGCTCATAAGAAAGTAAATAGAGTCTCTCGACTCTTCAGCTCATGAATTAATTATAAACTGATACGCTTCTCCGGCATACAGTCAACTTGTAGAACCTTTTCCCTCATCAAGATGATTCAAGACAGATACCAAACGTCCTGCTACCATTCTGGAACAGATTAACGCTTCGTCTTCTTCTCCAGCCTAACGCCAGCACCCTGGAATAAATGAACTCTAGGGCGCCTGACGGGCGCTGATAGTTAGTCTCGTTTACGAGTAGTACCAGTGGGTTCGCTTCTCCGTCCAATATACGACAATGGTGTAATGGTAGCACATCCAGATAAATGTCTTCCTGGATAGCCCTGGTTCAAATCCAGGCTGTCGCCTCCTCTGCCAAGGTTGGAATTTTTGACTGTATCATCTGCCAGGTATACCACCAGCAGATTCTCACATGCTCTTTCCGTCCATATACTCAATCCTTGTTGAAATTTTTTGACTCTCGTCAGTCCAAGATTCGTACTAGGCCGAAGCCTTTGCCTAGCAGAAACTACGTTACGAAAGACATATTTCGGGATATATTCAGTATTTATGTTGTCCTTGCATGCGGCGATGGTGTAGTGGTAACACGTCCAACTTTTGAACACGGACTCCCCTGGTTCGATCCCAGGTCATCGCCTCCGTGGATCCTGAATGTTTTTTTCTTGATTCCATATCCAAATTGTCGACATTGAAATCATTCAGACTCTACTCGACTCAAAGTACTCCGTCCGGGACATGAGACGACAGGATTATGATAAATTCATATCGTAGGGGAACAGAAGAACCTGTGAGAAGAGTATCACTGGTGACTGGGCATCGTCGCAGAAAGCAAAGAGATGGAGAACCGCAAAACCAATCCGAAACAATCATCCTTCAGAACGTCCCCCAATCAAATCGAAGACTCATGTGTTCTCTAATGACCTCCAGAGAACCCGTTTCCTTATCCACCGTTGCAGTTTGACATGAACTGACATACTTGGCTCTCTCATATCCTCTGGAGTTCCAGTCGTTGATTGATTGAGGTCAACCGTCGTGGAATCACCATCGAGAAGTAAGTAGATGTCCAGGCAGAAGACCCGACAGTGACAGTGTGACACCATGTCACCAAATGGCTCTGACGGGAATTTGGGCTGCCTCATCAAAGAATGGTTAAACTTGCGAGCCTGGCCTAGAGTGGTACTGAAGAAACGCCGTCAGCAATAAGCGGAGAAGGTATGTTTCTTCACCTACCATATTCTCTGCGCGTTATAGCCATCTCTTCCCTCGGTTGTTTCTCTGGCCGAAAGTCGAAGAGCCCAAGCCTCAAGGAACTGTCGGTGGTTGCAAAAGAGAGCGAAATCTGTTCCGTGTCTCTTCTCGTTGCCTTTCGCATGCCAGAACCAGATTCAACAGAGCCTGTCATTGTCGTGTCTACAGGTCCTCAGCGCTCAGCAGCTGAACCTGCTGAAAAAGCGAACAGAATAAGTATCTGAGCTTGATGCCACCAGAGCATCGCTGCTCTGACGCTGCTGTTCCTTCGCCGAACGATGGAACGGAGCCAACGAATGGAACCTGAGGGAATGATCATTGATGAGCCGAATTCTATACAAACGTTAGCGAGGTCTGATAAAGCTGAGCGCTGAGCATGCTATCTGACCGTCGTCGGTGACCGACCACCGTCGTTAGACGCAAGGAAGGGTACTCAATCTAATAATCCGATTAGTCAGGTGAAGGAAGAAGACAGAAAAGTTGTTAACCGTGGCTGCCCTTATTGCATTGGACGAGACTGGACAAATCAAGGACGGATATACGAGCTCAGTGCGACAAATCCTGATATACTTACCAGCTGCTTCTTCATACTCTTCTCGCAGGAATCTCCCCTGATTCAGTCTACTCGGAAATCGTGTCGCAGCTGTGAAGATATGGAGAGACCGTGCCAGAAACTGTGCATTCAAGTTGTCGCCGGTCGAGACTGGCTCAAATGATGGAGACCACAGAAAGTCGCATCAGAATCAGCTATGTATGTCTAGAACGACTGGGAAATTTGGCGACTGCAATTGGGAAGAACGAATGGAAATGTTCTGCGCATTGCATAAATGGGTTGAATGGGTTGTTTGGTCGTGCTTGCACGAACTCTGTCTGATTCCCACGACGACAAGTCTCCCCCTACTTGATAGCTCTAGTACAAGGCACGCCTACGAAAGCGCTAGATAAGGTAGATGCCAATGCGAGCCTGTCTTCTCATCATGTGGCTGAGCGAAGGAGCGAAGCTCCGAAGCGAGAGAGTGAATTCTTGTAAGGCATTTCGAGCCTGTCTTCTCATCACGTGGCTTCCAGTCTCTTTAGACCTGACCTCTGCTCGGCTTCTCATCTCCCTCGCAGTGGTCGTCTGGCCGCTCATTCTCTCTGCGACTTCGCGGAATTTTCGACCGTGTGCATTCTTGCTGCTTTTCAGCAACCTCATTGGACCAAGGTCCAACTCGAGCATCATTACAAACCTTCTATGCCTTTTTGCCTGGCATACGCTAGCTGGTCCATCCACGGAACCTCCGACTTTGTCGCACTCTTATCAGGTTATCATTGCGCCCAGCATCCCCCAAATTCCTTCCCACACCATCCGATATTCTCTTCTCGGCCGAATGCAAGATCAATCCAATGGGGCACTTCCTGGTCATTTTCACTGGTTCTTATCCTCAGAAGTTTCATCAGGTATGTCTCTTCAGAATCTCAATTTAAATCCCCCATGCCTTCGGGCCATTTTTCTTCAAGTGCCCCTGGGCCTGTTCTTTCAATTAAATCCCCCATGCCTTCGGGCCATCTTTCTTCAAGTGCCCCTGGGCCTGTTTTTTCAATTTGCATTTCAATTTGGCTGGGCATTTCAATTTGCTTTCATATATCATATATCATATAAATTTTTGCCGCCTATACCGGAAAATTAACCACTTGGTGGACTCTAATCTAATCTAATCTTGAGCGCAATCTGTAATCTGATCTGGAAGAACAAAATGTTACCGCAGTCATTTCAGTGTTTCTAGTTTACTATTCGGTTTTCAGGTCTCATGCTAATCCTGTACAGCTGAACTCTGGGGAAACATTGTGTTTGTTCAGGCTGGACCTAGGACTTACGATGAGATTACTTTCCGACACATATCCGTTTCCTAAGATTTGACGATTCTCTCCATTTAAACAAATTTCACTGGCGCTATATCCATCAACAGCACAACTTTGGGACTTTGTAACTTGACAACAATCTGGCTGGTGAGTCTTTCATTGTTTTTCCCCTTTTCCACTTTCTCTGGACTCTGTCTTGTCTCGGCCCTGCGCTAGATGATTCACTCTCCCTCCGTTTTGCTGCATTTAATTTCTGGTTCCCCTCGACAAACATTATACATTTCTGTTCAAAATACTTTGTTTCAAATATGTACCTGATGATTTCAGGCTCTTTACGGACACATATATATTCCGAGAATAGCATGGATATCTCAATTTAAATGTCTTGAACTTGCTCAGTTCGATGAGATGCTCATATCCCAGAATTTCAGTTCTTTCCATCTGGTATTGATTTTCTGTTTGGTTTTAGGCCATTGTACAAGGTTCAATGTTACGCTTTCTTCAGTGGCCAGGCTGCATGTTCTATGGTGGGTTTTCATGTCCTACTTGGATTTTATTTGTGTTCTAGGTATGATATATTGACAGAGGCCGTATTTGATCTTTCGAGATACGTCCATGTCTGGGGGGGTTCCTTCTTCCTTGAAGATCATCATGGCCCTCGAGTACAACATGTTTCGTCTGGTATTAGCTTTCCTGTCTCTTTCTTATCAACTGCACTTTGTCAGACAAATAAAAAATGCTCAGTCGGTGGTCCGTGTTAGGGCGTGGCGGTGTTATATATATATTTGATCCCTTAGTTGGTTCTGATTTACCGCACAAATTTGCACATTGGGTTGGTTTCATTTACTATGTCCTGATTGACAAATTGCGGCTGATCCAACCTCGCATGACTCAAGCTCAATTTAGTTGGATCCTTCAGATTCTGGTACCTCACATACTTCATTCTCCGTCCATTACTTGCAGTATTGCCCTCCATGGCTTGCCGTGAATTTTCCAAGTGTTCTACCCATCTGTTACTACAGCTTTAACATATCAACTTTTCTAACCTTGAGCTGTGCTTCGAGCCAGTCACGGTGATCTCGATGAGTCATGACAGCCCTTTGCGACAACTGAACTTGATTTCGGGGCTTTGACTCGAGGTTTCCAGTCTGGACACTTTATTGACACTGAGACATACTGTATCCAATGATGTGCGGATCACGGTTCTAATTCACTTCGGCTTCACTTGCATATTCTGCACTCCAACTTTTTCACTCTCAATGCGCCATACTGTATCCCAAATCATTATTGGTTAGGTAAATACCAGTGGCTTCAAAGTTTGGACACATTTCCGAAGGGTCGCACCGGCTGTTACTTGGGGACCACGGTCTTTCGGGGCCAGAGCCATGTAATCTATCTATCTATCTATTTCCTGAATTTATCGTTCTTTTGTGATTGAGATTTCTGCATAAGCAAGACTTGGGAGTGCTGTCAAGTGGAAGTATCCCTTGAATGCTTGAGCCTTGCACCCAAAATTTATTTTGGAGCTGAATGTACAATATAATTTTTGAGATTTCGGAGAAGATCAGAGTCGTTATTCCTTCGCAGACCTCGGGTTGGGGGTTTCCGACCCGTCCTATCGTCATTCAGTCCGGCCCGTGTAGAGCGTTGCTCTGGAGCTCTGCTCAGGGTGGGTTCTTGGCCTTCTGTCTGACGCTGTCCGGTCTCCTTGTGTACCCGAGCTGACTGGCTCAAGTGTTGTCTTGGTTGCTTTGAACGCCACACAGGCGTTTAAACTTCAAGCGCCGGAGCCAGCAGCTTCGCTGCCAAACACTGGGTTTCATTTGAAACCTGACATCTTTGTTTCAAGTTACACATTTGGGTGAGCTAGAGTCTACCTTATCATCCTCTGGTGCTAGCGAATTCTAACGCAATTCATTATGAAAACTGTCGTCGACAAAAGCAGTTTGTCAAAGGTATCTCGAAATCTGCCCAGCTTGAAGCTTGAAGTGCTAGTACTTATTATCAGCGAGGCAGCCGCTGCCCGTTCACCTGAATCATCGAGCAAGAAGAGGAAAATAGGTCAATACGAAGAAGGTAGCCTTATTGCTTTGACTTATGTCATATAAATAACATTCTGCAGACCAAAAGGCGCCAAATATGTCAATGTATGAATCTTTTTCGAACGCCGGTAAGTCTCTTGAGTCCTGTCACCTCTGAATGACTGGCGAAATTGATTGAATTCTCAAGGACCTGGCCAACGCCCATTGGCTGTGGAAGAAGGAACCTCCTTCAAAATCGAGCCACAGCACTTCAAGGTCGAGCTGCCGCAGGTCGTTAAAGTGAAGCACGAGTCGGACCCTCCGGCTGAAGTTCGAGTTTTAACGCCACAATCGAGTGAGAGAGCAAGAATGGCAGATGAAGCGAGACCGGAAGATGAGCATCGATACAGAGAGCGAGCTCAGCGCCGTGAACGAAGAAGAGCCGAGGCTCCCAAGCATCCAGAACCTGCTCGAGTCAAAGTCGAGGAAAAATCAAATGGTTAGTAAGCTCTGTTTGGTATCCATG